TGAGGATTCCTCATTCCTCTGGATGAACCAAAGGGTGTAGGAAGTCCTGCTAGCTCTTGGGGCACAGTTGCTCAGTGTGAGGAAGATGAAAGCCCCGATGGGGTGAAGAGCAGTCAGGTGCTGTGAGAGGGTGGATGATGCTCCATGCACTGGTCTGTGAAGGGGAAAAGTGCAGCTTACACTTGTTTCAGGTTCTCCATAATGAGGCATGTAAAAATAGTAATAAAGCCTCCACTGTCACAACCCCTTTCTTCCCTTTTCTTGTCTACATTTAACATTAGGGTTTGCTCTGTCAAAAAGCAACAGAGGCCACGATACACATGAGCTCCCTAAGGAGTTTTCCAGAGGAATACCAGTGCTCAGGTGGGTGTTTGGGTGTGTTTCAAAGGTGATACAAATTTCACCATAGAATGTAAATGATTTCTCTTTCAAAGGTGAATCCCACTGAGCCCTTCCCCAAACCAGTGCCTGACTTTGAAAGTGGAGACAGGCAGAGCTCTGAAGTGCCCTTCTCAGGAGCCAGGGTTCCCATGAGGAGGAAGAGAAGCATGGAAAAGCTTACAAGAGCCTCAGGGAATGTCCCTGCGTGTATGTGCTGGAGTGGCTCAACACAGGTTTAAGTGTGACACGGCAACGGCTCCTGCATTAACTTAGCTTCACAGCAGCTGAGGCCGAATCCAGCTGAACAGCAGCACTAAGCCCACTGCGGTGGTTCTCTGCTGTGAGAGGTAATTAATTAGCTTCTGCAAAGTCCTTTGAAGGGGTAAAGCACCAAGTAAGCATGTAGCAGTGTTATCCAGAGGGCGTGGGCTTCAAACCTTAAGTGGGGGGGGGATACTTAAATCTGACCCAACCTAGTAAACTTGGCTCATAATTTCCTTAAAGCCTAAACCAACAGGGAAAGCATCTTAAAAATAACCAGAGCCCTCCAGTCATTTGGTAGTGCTGAGGAAGAGGAGGGTGCAGCAGAGAGATTAAGAAATAAGCCTTGGTCCCTGGGGATGGGGTGGGACAGAGACCCTAGGGGCTGCTGCGGACCTACTTTAAAATCATATCTGAGAGGCAGTTGGGTGGGTGCTCTCTTCAGGAAAGCATCCCTGTGTGAATGGCATCCTGTCAGCAGGATGCTCCTGCAGGGATGCATTGGCCCGGCCTGGGTTTTGGCTGAGCCACAGGAGCTTGTGGTGCTCTCAGCAGCCTCCCTGCTCTTGGCCAACCTCCTCTTGGCTTTAAGTGGAGTTGAGGGAGGCTCTGCAGAGTGAGCTGCTGCCGTGCAGCACCTGGCATCCTGCATGGGACACAGCGGCTCTGTGTAAGGTACACCCAAAGGAAGAAAAGAGGTGAGTAAAACAGAGCTACTTGAAGGAGGATTCATTTCATAGGAGGATATATTATTTTTCCCTACTCTGACCATTTGTTAGTGCTGGATGGTGATTAATGGAGCTGAACCTTGGGCCTCAAACTACCAGCAAAAAAAGTAGGATCCCATTCAGCTGCCTGTTCCTCCTGAGCAAAGCATCCAAGTACTTGCCTTTCTAACTACCTTTGTTTGTTTCCTCCAGTGAAGTAACCTGGATTTTTTAACGTTTACTCACTTCCTAATTTGCAAGGATTAATTACTTCACAATGGATGTCTCAGTCCTGGCTGTGAATAAGTGAATTGCTAGTGTACTAAGAGCTCTCTCACGTGTTCAATTTAACTCCTGCTTCTAAGAGCTTAGGAAAATCATGTTCTCTCTGCTCAGGAATTTCCCTGCAGTCCACCACACAGGGGTGGTAATTGCACTGAACCTATTCCTTGCATGATCTTTTTCCCAACGGTCATTTGTAAAGCAATAGTGTCTGTTTTCTAGCAGCTGATGTCAAATCCCTGTGCCAGCGCTTGCCTTTAATTCCTGTATTCACTGTAGTCAGTGCCCTGCGTATTATCTGTTTAAACCTGAATGTCTTTTAGCATAATTACAGGTTAACAATTTGAATGCAGACATATGCAACCTTTCCATCCTGGCTTTGAAACCAGCTCACAAGTGGCATATACGAACTGCCAATGTTTTGCCGACTATGCAACGTGGGTCAAGGTGAGCTTGGCAACCCATTCCCCAAGGGGCTGTCATCCCAGGCAGGCATCATCTCCCCCTGCCTGCTCCATGTCCAGAGCTGCTTCATCTCTTATATCTTTATGTAAGGGCAAGTAAGTATAAATATAAATATATATATATTTACACTTGTTGTTATATATTTGTGTATATATATAAAGTGTGCATATATATCATACATAAAATATATATACATAATATACATTATATTGCCCAGTGAAAACTCTCTCTGTGCTTCCATGCTGCTGGATGCAGGGATGGCTGTTAAGTGCGGTGAGAAACATATCTCTGCATCCGAGCTGTAGCAAACAGCTGACTAAGCAGGCTGATTCAAGAAGGCCTGTTGGCCAAGCATTTCACATGTTCTGTGAAGTCTTTCCACCACAGAGATAGTACCAGGAATCAATTCCTTTCTGGTGTTAAGGAGTTGTTTCCCAGAGGACACTGCAGCCAAGCCAAGGGAACCATCGGTGGGAGCTGGAGGAGAACACAGTGACTTGGAGCAGGGAAGCCTATATGCTACAAAGGGTCCAGGAAAGAAAATCCATCTCACAGGAGTGAGAAGTTGGACTGTGAAGTACTGGAGGTTGCTGCAAGGCTGCTAAAAGACACAGCTAGAGCAGAGCACATGGGATGTATAGCCAAAATTCAACACACGGGGCAGCACAATGCCAGCCAAGCACTGCCAGAGCACTGGGCTCTCTCGGACATCTGGGGATGGTATTTGTTGCCTGGGTATGAAGACTATTCTGGCTTATGTTTGAGTCTGTTTGGTTTTAACTTGGTAAACTTCCAGCATGGAGGAATGCCTGTCAGGCATGGGGGAAGAGAGGAGACCCTGCAGTCCCCAGGGGAGTTTGTAGGTCCCGCACCCCATGCAAATCCCATTGGTCTAATTCAGGTGTGAGAAAAGGCTTTTGTGTTTCCCTCTTCCCAGCACCTCACCATGGCTAGAGCAGATTCTCACTCTAATACAAGCTCGCTGAGCTATGAGTACAGCTGAAGTGAGAGGAGTTTAACCCCCTCTGAGCCCCACCACTGAGCTGTGCCCCATACAACATCCCAGTGAGAGGCGGCTTTTCCCACCAATGGCACTTGCTTGTTGTATGATGGATGAGGCAGCCACAGCGCGTGAAGTATATAGCAGCAGCGCACTGCTGCAGGAAAAATGATAGCAGTGAGAAGCCAGACCCAAACTCTCCACAGTGATGTGATGGGGAAGGACAGGAAAGGGATGTCACAAGGATGATCAGGGGTCTCATGAGGAGAGATTGCTGGAGCTGGGCCTTTTTAGTCTAGAGAAGATTGAGAGGGGATCTCATCAGTGCACATAAACATCTCAAAGGCAGGTGCCAGGATGGTGCCAGATTCTTTCCAGTGGTTCCCAGCTACAGGATGAGGAGCAATGGCCATAAACAGAAACACAAGAAGTTTCACCTCAATGTGAGGAAGAGCTTCTTTACACTGAGGGTGGCAGAGCATGGGAATAGGCTGGCCAGGAGGGTCGTGGGGTCTCCCTTTCTGGAGATACTCAAACCCCGCCTGGATGTGTGACCTGCTGTAGGTGGCCCTTGGCAGGGGGCTGGACCGGATGATCTCCAGAGGTTCCTTCCAACCCTAAAGATTCCAAGTGATTCTGTGATGTGGACACACGTTATTAGAAATAAGCTGAAGATAGAAGCTGTCAGCACATGAGGAACTTAAGGACCTTTCACGAAACCAGGCCAGCAAGTCCCATAGTGCTGCACAGCAGTAATGCGTCAGACCTGCAGGGGCCAGGTTTCACCTTTCAGCTTGTAAGAAATTCATGGCTTGCTTCATAAAAATATATTTCTCCGGTTTAAAATCATTTTGTGTATTATATTGCACTAATGGACAGCATCAACTTGATCTTGCTGGGAGAGATGTGGGCTTTTTTCAATCCAGGCTACTCTGCATTTGCCATGCAAGAATAATCATAGAATCCCAGACCGGTTTGGGTTGGAAGGGGCCTCTTAAAGCTCACCCAAACCCCTGACATGGGCAGGGACACTTTCCACCAGAGCAGGTTGCTCAATACATGAGTATTACCAACCACAGCAACAGCCCAAAGCCCTTCCATTCCACGATGGGAATTAGCAGAAACAACCTTTCGACCATAATGCCCCAGCACCTTGGTGTGCACGTGGCTGGCTGAAGTCCACATTGAAGGCAGGACGCTGTGTCACAGCCCCACATCTGAGCCCTGGGGCTTGTGACATGGAAAAACCAGGAGAGTTTTCTGATAGTGCAAAGGGTGCGAAGGAGGTTAGGGCAAAGAGGAGAGGGGAAATTATTACTTATTATTATAAGTACTTATTGAATTTAAAATATTGAGTATAAATTAACAATATTATAGGTAATGAAAATATGGCAATAAACAGAAAATAATAATAAAATTAAATAATAATTAATTAGAAGAATATTAAATACCACTACAGGACAAAATGTTAACAGTAAATAGAAATAATAATAGAAACAAAGACTAATAACACTGGAATATAATTCCAATTATTATTGGAATAATAACTAATAACACTGGAAAAACAGTAAATAATAGAAGGAATGTTAGCAAACGCTGATGACGCAGACCCGCAAGCCCCGGGGTGCCACAGAGCCGAACCCGTCACTCCCACTGGAGCCGGAGTGCTTCCGGGCGGGGGGGAGCTTTGGGACTTCCGCGGTACTTCCGCGGAGCTTCCGTTTCCCCCCGGTGCGTGTCCCCCGCACGTGCGCCGCGATCGACCCTCCGAGCCGGCAGGGGGCAGTATCGTGCGGCAGCGAGCGGAAGCGTCGCCGCGCTCCGCCGCCCGCCGCCGCCGAGCTCCGCCGCCGGGCGAGGGAAGGGCCGCTGCGACGCAGCAGAGCGCGGGGCGGGGGGGGGGGAGGGGGCCGGGCGAGCCGGGGCCGCGCCGCGCCTCTGCCTGAAGCCGCCGGAGCCGCGCCGCCAGCCGCTGCAGCCGGGGCGGTCGGGCCGCCAGGGGCAGGCCCCGCCGGACACGCCGCTGAGGAGGTGCCAGGCCGCGCTCCGCACGCAGGTACCGAGGCGGTGGGGCCGGGGGTCGGGCGAGGGTCCGGCGGGGGGGACGGAGGCCGCCGGGCTCGACGCGCATTGTCCGCCACGGCGTGAGGCCGGGTCAGGAAGCAGCGCCCCCGCGGCTGGTGCGTGCGGGGCGGCCGGTCGGGGCAGGGTCGGGCCGTGTCCTGCGGGCCGCGGGGCAGCGCGGCCTGGCCCGGCTGGTGCCCGCCGCTTGCCGGCCCCCACTCCTGGGTCGGCGGCGGCCGGGTCCTGCCGGTTAGATTGGCCTCGGAGGCGGTGCCGCCTCTCCGGGGCTTGCTGTCGGCCTGAGCAGAGGGCAGGTCCCAGTGGGTACTGAGTGCTGCCCCCGGTGCGGTTGGGGTGGAGGTGTCGGTGTGTAACAGCTGGAGGCGGTGTGAAGGGGAAGGGCATAGGCCAGCGTCTGTGTTTAGTGGTGCGGCAGCGCCTTGTATCCCGGAGTTCCTCAAATGCAGAGCCGGGCAGCTAATTAAGATGCAAAGCTGAGCCGGGTTTACCTCAGCCCGCAGCAGCGGAGCCGGTTTTGGGGCGAGAGGCAGCCGCTGTCGCACGGTCCGGTCTGGGGTGGGCAGCAGGGCGATGAATGCTCTGCCTAGCCGAGGAGGACTGAGCCCTTCGGTCAGGAGAGCACCCAGTTACAACCTCTTCTTTGTTATGTCTTGTGTTACATGAATCGATGAGAGGTGTGGAGCAGGCACTAAGTTACACAGCCCTCTCAATGTCCAGGTCTAAGGCCTCTATGTACAATTGTTACTCATGTTCATCGTCCTCATAGGCCTCTGTGCAGAAATAGCTGGATATGAGGGCTGTGAAGATCCTATTTTTGCAAACTAGACTATGCTCCTTAAGTAAAGAAAGTTTTTTCATTGTTTTTCCTACCAATCTGTGAATAGCACTAACACTGAAATCAGGATGTATCCAATTTTTTTTTTTTTTTTAATCAAAGAAAATGTAATTGTTGGTATGTGATCATGTAGGTGCATAGGATTTATTTAAAGCCTATATGCAGCCTTATGGGAATGGTGTGATTTAATTTGCATGATGAGTCAAAGATTAAATTACATGACCTAGGCTCTTTAGTTTCAGTGAAGAGAGTAACAATGTTTGGAGGAGCAGTTTAAATGTGGATCAGAAATGAAAGTCGGTTAGCATCAACATATGGCCAAGTTTTGTGTGTGTGTTTTTTGTTAGACCTAACCTGTCAGGAACTCTAATTCAAGGGTCTGTGTTTTCCTTTCAACAGCATAGTTCACCATCAGGAAATTTGTCTTCCTTTTTTACCCAGAGAGCTCATGAAATCATATACTGTCAGAGGGAATTTAACATCCTGAGCTTGTGCCTTGGCATCTAAGCTTTTAAATAATAGTTTTTTACTATCTAAAACACTGTGTATTTATAGTTAATACCTGTTAATACCTGTTGATGTGGCACATGCCTTTAACTGCAGAGAAAAGAAAGGCTAAGAGATATTCTGTGAAATTATAAGTGTGACACCTGTTTTGGGATCAGAAATAACTTGATTTTTTTATCAGTTGGCAGCTTGTTGGATGTTTAAGAGTGGCATGGTGCCCTCTGTCCCTGTGTTTTGGTGGGATTCTATCTGTCATGGGCTTGATGTTGTAAGAATATTGTATTTTACAATTAGCTTTATAGTGGTCTTGTGATGCAAGACCCTGAGTCGGCAAGGTAGTATATGCTTGGCTTAAATTTTCTTGTATTTAAACTGTAATCTCAATGGTAGAGTGATACATGTGCTGTAGGGGAATTTACTTGGTCACACTGAAAAAGCACCGTAGTACAGGTGGAGATGGTGTTGGGTGGTGTTGGGAGTAAGCAGAATAGAGGTCTTGTAATGTAAGTTTGTATGTATGGGCTGATATGCTGCTGAGTATTTCTATCTGCTGGCAGAATTGAGTTTATTTCACTTTAATTGCTTTCTCTTTATACTGACACAGAGTTCTGAAACTTTGATTCATTCTGTACACATTTAATGCATGGTTGGGGATGGAAAAGTATAAAACAGAACTTTTTTTTTTTTAAGATATATGTATTTATCCAAATAAAGGAGACTAAATAAAAGTGCCAGTTAAATAATAATTTGTGACAGTATGTCTCTGAGAGATAATTGTGCTTATTGGGTACTATCAAGCACAGACAAATGTGTATTCCCATCGGGGTGGGTTAGTATTAAGAAAAACTCCACCTCTTGGAATTCCGTGTTTGTTTTTATGAAACATTCAGGAGGGAACGGTGTCTATTTTGCATTCTATTGTGGAAGCTAATGCATCTCGTATTAATTAATGGATGGGAGTTGAGTGAGACCTTAGTTTTGTGCTCTCCATGCTGTACTTTCTATTTTTTTATAATATTGGAATTACCAACCAGTGTCCTCCTTTTTGAATCAATTCTGTATTGAGCTTTTGCAGATTTCTTTTAGTGCGATGTTTGCAGCCTTAATTTTTTGTGTAAAATCTTTCTGAAAGCTTTGATAGTTGCTGTAATGTGCTTACAGGCATTAGACACTTGCTAAAAGGATGTTGTCTTTGTACTGCATGTAGTCTTTGTACTGCATGTAGAATGGGGCTCTAGTAGTTGATGCTGGTTTGAAGAAGGAGCCTAAATGACCTTTCAAATTCCCTTTTGGCCCTGCTTTTCTGTACTTCTGACACCTTAAAACATGGTTTAATTACAAGAGCAACTATTAAAGTGTAATTACCTTTGTCTAATTGGAGGCATCTTGCAGCTTTCTATCAAAAATAAGATTTGACTCATCTGCTCCTTCAGAATGAATAGTACCACAACAGCCTGCAGCTATTTATGTGAATAATGTGCAAAGCAGCAATATGGGTTGACTTTCAAATAGTGTATTTTTGATACTGTACAGTTGAAGTCTTGTAAATTTAGCAATTTCTGATAAGGAAAGAATGGGCTGTGCACATTTTTGTCAATTCTTACCTGCAAGGTAAAGCCAGATACCCATCACATTGGACAAAATCCTTTTTAGTCCAATGACCCTAAGTCATAGTGTTCACTGTAACTGTATTTTTGTAGCTGTAGATAAACCTTAAGCAAGATAAAAAATTCCGTTTGCTGCTAGTGCTCAAGATTGTGCTGTTCTAACCAGACAAATGCTATGTCCCTGGTTTCTTGTCTAGTTTAGGGGTTTTATTATTCTGAGTAGTTTGCAACTTCAGCTGTCATTCCCTTCCTTGTGGGCTCTCTCTTTCCCCATGTTCTTGCTTGGTATTGCTATTCTTGCACCACAAGATGTAGAGGTGTGCGCTAGAAAGAAGCTGGATGTCTTCAGTTAGAAGGTGAAACTTTATGCTGAGATCCGTCCTTCTTCTTCTCCCCACCCCCGCCACCCCCCCCCCCCAAGTACAAACACAAAGTTAAATTAGAAGGTGGGGTTGTCTTGAGTTATTTTAACGGACATGAGCTAGGCTTATAAAATGCACGCTTATGGAGTACCTAAGGCTTAAACTGGTGTCATGTGAGTTCAGTCTTAGCCTGAGCAAATCAATGTGCATTCATTATTCCACCTGATGATAAAATGGCACGTTCATTTGTCCCTATTTAAATAGTCTATAAAGGATTGAATCCAGTATTTATCCAGACTGGAAGGAGATGGAATACTGTGTGCTTACAGGAATAACTGTGGTTGTTCCTCAGCAGCCTTCATGGCCTTTTTTTTTTTTTTCAGACAGCATTAATTTAGAAAGTAAATTGCATAGGTTTAAATAAACAGCTGCAATTTGCTTTCCAAATCCCTTGATTTGAGTATTCCAGCTAATACTTCATATACTTAAAAGATGCTATAAAAAGTTGCAGACTGTGGATTTCAGATATACTAAAAGGAAGTAATTTTAAGCCTATCCACAAGGCCATAAAATACTGGGGGGGAATCACTGAATGTTTTTCCAGTGCATCGCTGTTGTTTGTTGTCTTGTTGCCTTTATTTTTTTATTTTTTTTATTTTTTTTTGTATTTCTATTTTCATTATCATTATTAGTATTTAATTATTAAACTTTTTTTATCTCAACCCATGGTTTTACCTTTTTTCCAGTTCTTCTCCTCGTCCCACTGTGAGATCAAGGTACTTAGTTGCCAGCTGGGGTTAAACCACAACAATGTTGTAGGTAATTTTCCTGTTTATTGGTAATCTGCTACTTCTCATACAATACCTAGTTCTTTTCTAAAGATCTGTTAACTCTGTAGTTGCGCCTTCCCCTTCAAATACTTGGAGAATTCATCGCTAAAAAGTTAAATATAGCAAGACAGTTCAAAACCTGAGGAGTTATAATTAGTACAGAACTGTACTATTAGTCTAACGTGTGTTTCTAAGTTCGGAAACATCTTTGGTTGAAGTTATTCAGGAGTTACTACTTGGAGTTATTTTTAAGTGGTCAGTTATATTGTCAAGTGTTTCACAGTGAAAACGGCTGCTTCAGTGAAAAATTGCTGTGTGCTGCCTTTGATCCGTACCCTGTTGTGTAGGGGTTTTTGGATCCATATGTGTTGGTAACAAATTCATTTTTCTTACTAAAATAATGTAACTGAAAGTTCAGCTGCAAACCCTGCAAGATCTGAAATGTGTCACTTAAAAATACTGAAGATAGAACTTGGCTGTAAATTAAATTGAATTAATATGTCAGCTTTTCAGGGAGTTGAATATGCGTGATTGCAGGAGAAGTACTTATGTTCAGTCATTCGTGTGTATGAAATGCCTTAGCTCCTTTCAAGATATCTGTGTTAAAACATGTAATGAAAATATTGAGAAGTGTTTCCAGAAATGTGGAATGCATCATCTTTCTCTGGCTGCTAGAAGTGCCCAGGCACTAAAGAAATGCCTGTCTGAAAAGCTTTCATTGTTTTATTTACTGGGTTTTAAGTAAAGCATGCTAGTGCCTAGAAAGATGAAGAAAGAGTTGAGGAAGGCCACTCCATCTTGCCAGCCAGCTCCTGTCTGGTGCCATTTCG